ACTACACACGCACCTGCGCAGCAGAGTAAATGCTGAAAGGACATAGTTATACATAAGCGGTATATAATCACGGCTTCAGTAAATTTCACATCGGTTTTTTGCTTCTAATGGTTTAATAGCGTTTGCAATATGCAGGATTACAGTCAGTAAGGTCACAATTTAAAAACTTTGCTTGCCCTCACCGACCCAGGCTGAAATGTTTGGGTAGGTAGGTCGGCTTTTTTTGAGGGCGGTGGGTCTTTTTACAAATTCAGCATGGTGTCAACATGCTCGTGTGTGCTTGTCTGGAGATACCTTTTATGTTGAATGTTGTTTTACTGGTACATATAATGTATTGCCTACAGATTTTAACAATGTACAGTGATACAATTTGTTAAAAGAAAAGAAAAAAAATATCAATAAAATGTTTGTGTCGGCCCCTTTTTGGTGGGTCGGTCGCGGTGAGGTAACAAACAATTATATTATTATGGCCCAAGCACTGAGCAGTGTGAGAGTATATAGATAATAGGAATGATGAAACATAATTGCAGTAGTTGGAGAGGAGAGATACTCACGTTTAAACACTATACATGGTTATGGGTGAAATATTGGCGGGTTAAGCTTGCAGTTATCGAAAACCAATCGATTCTTCAGTGAACTGATATTGCACTGATCTTGTATCTTGTATTGATATCATCCAAGTGCTATTGAAAATTAATCGTACGTTGATGCGGCGCGTTACACGTTAGTAAAATTTTCCAGGATCATCTTGTGAACCTCTGGTCATTCTCGCGGCAGCAAACAACTGACTTCCCTGGTGATTCCAGCTCCGAACGACGCCATGACTGTCAGCAACTTAAAAAAACATATTCGAGAAGATTAAATTAAGAAAATCACTTAATGACTACGCTGAAGATGAAACACTCGCTAAAAACACTGAAGGGTACTCACCAATTATATTTCACAAGCATACATTAAATTAGGCATTAAATATTATTACCGAATATTAATGGTATCATTGACATATGATATATATATATATATATATATTATATATTATAGTATCATACAACACACTGATCGCATAGTGCTATTACAATACGACTGCAGTATTTACTGAACACTGTTGTGACGAACTAAAGTATTGTTTTCGCCTCCGACACCACAGTTAGAGGTACGGTCGTGACCACACGGACATGCAATCTACGACTCAACACCGCCGCCGACGCGGACCGGTGCCTACACGAGACATGTCAATCTACGACATCAACGCCACCGACGACGCGACCGCTGCGCTACACGGAGACAATGCAATCTACGACATACACGCCACCGCGACGCCGACCGCGTGCCTACAATGACAATGTCATCTACGACGATTTCACGCCACCGCGACGCGACCGCCTGCCGTACACGAGAGCAATGTCAATCTACGACATCAACGCCACGCGACGCGACCGCTGCCTTTACACGAGACAATGTCATCTACGACATCACGCCCGGACGCGACCGTGCCTTACAGCGCAGCATTGTCAATACTTCACGACATTCAACGCCACCGACGACACGACCGCTGGCTACACGAGGAACAATGTCACATCTACGAATCAACACCACCGCACGGCTGGACCGCTGCCTACACGAGACAATGTCAATCTACGACATTCAACGCCACCTTGCGACGCGGACGCTGCTCCAAATACGAGACAATGTCAATCTACGACTATCAACGCCACCGCGACGCGACCGCTGCGCTTAAACCACGGGACATTGTCAGTCTACGACATTTCAACACCACCGCGACGGCGACCTACACCAAGACAATGTCAATCTACGACATAAATGCGACCGCCGCCTACCTTCGCCCACTCGGCGCTCTCGTCCAGCGGACTGCCGTCGTTGTCCTTCGCCGCGGCGACGGGCAGCGCTTCTCCTTACTGTGTCGGAGCCTTCACGACGGCGCTGCACTGTCATTCATCGGTGGATGGCTTCTCCCTCGCCCGCGCTCGCCGCCCGCCCGCCCGCCCGGTGCGCAGCGGCGCTCGCGCGGAGTTCGGGGCGTAACGCGCCTCGCTGACTACCCGGCGGCACGACTGATCGGATTCGTTTACCCGAGAAGGAGGCTGCTTGCATCCGCGTATCACAAGTGTTGTTGAGCATCTACGCTGCGTTTTGCTGTTTACGACGTTGCGCGCAACTTTTTGCACAGAGTGCTCACCTGGGTCTAGGGTTGCACCACAAGCTTCTTGAGCAAGTCTTACAGCCGTCGCTGGATGCAGCATGCTGTGTACATATCATGTAGCATTGCGTTTGATCACACTGGACAACGGGACAGTTCGGTTTGCTCGCATGCAACTGTGAGTTGCGGTGGAGCGTTTACCACTTGGCACTGCTGTTCCATGTCAGGATTTTGCAGAGACACCGTATCTATTGCCGCGAATCTCCACAAGCCACGTTGTGCATGCAGACAGCTTGTGGTCGGATTTTCAGACACCACTGGAAGCGAGATGCCTGTGTTGGGCGTTGCTCCAGCGAGCCACATTTAGAACTAGAAGCAGTGTCCGTGTCTGGTGTTGACTTTTCAATAACCCAATATTGGAAGGAGTGACTGTCTCTCAGTTGTGCAGCACACACTGGGATGCAGGGTCTGCGTTGGGTTTTCTAGGCAACAGTAAGCACAGTCTCTTGTCTGTGCATTGATTGTTTAGTAATCACACAGAGCAGAGAGGGGGGGGGCATGTGTCGGCGTTTTGTCCGCAACCACCACTGGGATCAGAGTCTATCCTCAGTTTTCCAGCGCCGAGTAGAGCCAGTAGGCCATGCCGTCTCGGGTTTTTTACAGGCAAACCAACTTGGAGGCAAATCGGTCTCAGTTATGACGACGCTATATGGCGCAGGATAGCGTCCCTTGGCAAGAAGTCCTGTTGATCGACGGCACAGCTTAGCTGAGACGGCCGCAGAGAAATCTTGTTACAACGTCTTTTATTTACAGCGTCAAGAAGTGTTGTAAATAAAAGTGCGTGTTTTCGACACGAGGGGCCAATCGAGGCTAACGAAAAGAGTAACGTCGTTTGGAAGCAATTTCAACGTTAATTCCACTCCCGATACTGACGACCCACTTCCTAGTGTTTACCACCGGGAATACGAATTAGCTGGCGTTTCTTTGTCGGCGTACGCCCCCACGTTTCGAGTGACCGTGCGCGAGTTCTTTCTCTACCCTACTGCGCTATACTGTAGGGATGAAAAGAGACTTGTATAGTATGAGGTGAACAGACGATCTTTCCTCTGCACACGCGGACGCTACTCACGCTGTTCTGTTTCTCGGCGTGTCAGGGAGGAGATCTGGTGGAGAGCGCAGACCTGAAGGAGATCGGCATCAGCGACGACAGCCACCGGCAGACGATTGTCCGCGCCGCGCGCGAACTCCCCGCTGTCGCGCCGATGTGCGAGGACGGCGGCGGCGGCAGCGGCGGCGCCCCCTGCTCGCAGACCGTCGAGGAGTGGCTGAGGTGGCTGTGCCTGCAGGAGTACGACGACGCGTTCCGCGCGAACGGCTTCACGAGCATGGAGCGAGTGCACAAGCTGTGGGAGCTGGAGCTGGTGACGGTGCGTCGTATGCCGTGGTCGAGTTAAGCCTATAGCGCAGACTTGCGACTTTTTCGTGCGACTCGGCTGCGATTCTAGAATCGCAGTCGAAATTGCTGTGAAATCACTATGTCTGCGGGAACGTGCAACTGCAACTCGTAGCGATTCTGGTCGCTTGCAACGAGTTGCAAGAAAATCAAACTGGTTTGATTTTCAGCAACTCGTCGCTCCCAATCGCTTCGAAATCGCTTGCATGCACACACACGGTGAAGCGTGCGACCGATCGCATGTGGTTGCAGGTTGCAGCGACGAGCAACCAAAAATCGCAAGTCTGCGCTAGGCTTTACGCATGCTGTCGCGCAGCTGTAGGGAGTTTTAGTTGATTCCTTCACTAGAGATGGTCATAATTTTAGACTATTTTGAATTTTTCAATTTTGCGACACGACATTTCGATCGTCAGCGATCGTTGTCTTACAAATATCCTGAACGTGAGATGATACACAAACTTTAATGTGAAAACGCGTTGTTAAAGTTTTTGCGTAGGATATTTGTAAGATGGTGATTGTTATCGAGTTTTCTCGATATCCTCATCTGATGGCAATTTCAAATGGTGTTGTTCAGGTTCTGGAGATAAATATGGTTGGGCATAGGAAGAGGATGCTGGCTTCGTTAGGGGAGAGGCGGCCCCCGTCATCTGCTTCCACACGCTACTCGTCCGAAATCCGAAGTGTTGACCTCAGCACTACAGTGAGTAGCTTTCTTTCTTGTGTATGACAGGGTGGTAACAGCCATTAGCTTGCATGCAGAGTATTGCTTACGTATGCACTGCCAGGTTTCTCTATGACGCAGCTTTCTCACTCATGCCTCTATTCCCAATGCTTACTGATTCTCTGCAGTTTCTTCATTCTTTTGTATCTGTTCATTTTCCGATAATTGCTAGAGAATAGGTTCTTCAAGTATGGTTTAAATAACCTCTTTGATGGCAGTGAAATATGTGGTATCTAATAGCTATTAATTTTGTCGTAGTGTTCTAAGAATGTCGGTGCTAGTGGTGGCAATCATATTAATTAGAAAGCAACGGGGCATAGCGTGCAGTCAATGCTTTTATAGATCACTAGCCTGAACCTTAATCCCTGTGATCCACAGTCAAGTTTGGTGGTCGTTTGCTCTAGCTGCATCCATAATTGATCAATAATATCTCGTGGATAAATGTATATCCCTTTAAATATAACGCCATGTAGTCTGTCCGGAGTGCACATTCATACCTCCTGCCAATAAATATGGTTCCGCCTCTTGTGGCAGACCGAGGATGCTATGCCTAGCCTCTCATCTAAGCTAGACGACCTGACCTTCTTCAAAGACTATACTAAAGTCCAGCTGAGCTCTCTTTCCTCTGCGCAGCAATCGAAGGATGTGCTTCCCAGCACGTCGTCCCTATCAACGTCTGCCAGCTATGTAAGTGATCTACTGATATTTATTTGCTGGTTTTGTCAGCTTGGTTTTGCTTGTGGTGTGAGAATATTTTGCAGTAGACAAATCGTTTTGAAAATATTTCTCGTAAAGTATCCGTTTGGATTTAGGGTGATTATTCAACCCATCATGCTCTGCTCTGTGCATCTTAAAACGTTTTATGTTTGCTATGCATTGACACTAACTTATAGTTGGCTTATATACTGACATATGTAGCTAATCCTTAGGCAAATGTTATATTTGATCCTAGATTGAATTATAGTAGCAGATTATATGTGTAATTTTTGTCTGTCTGTCAATCTCATTGCAAAGGCTAAAGGCATTCTTTGAACCACGTTGATCCGTTGAATCCGAACACATGATTTAATCCTGTGTCCGATCTATAGGAGCCTGAGGCCGGGGCTGTTTCGCAGGCCTCAAGTCACGCCACACTAGAGGAGAAGGAGAAAACAAAGGAGAAGAAGAAGAAAGCCAGCCCTGCAAAACAGTGGCGGCACAAACCAGAAGTTCTAACGAAAGGCTGCTGCAACTACAACGTTCTGGTAATTATTTTGCTACTGGAAACAACACGGCTTGGTCTCTCACCTACCAGGTCATATCTAATCCATTTTGGTAATGTGTAAGGGTGCCAGATGAACTCTTACAACTATAAAGTGCTTGTGAGTATTTTGGTGATGGGCAAGAAACCACACTAATTCCATACATTATCAAATTAATTATTTTTTCATTGATTTTATCAAATATCTTCGTTGTTATCATTTTGTGTTCGATCTCTGTAAATTTTAATAGTAAGGCAAACTGTGGATATAAGATGACTTTGCCAATAGGTGTCACTAGTGTCCTACCAGCAATTTCGATCTTCTCTAGCTATAAGCAAAACACATTGCAGGGCGAGTATATTCTAACCTACGTAGCTTCAGTCTAAACATAATTAAACTTTTAATGCAGTCAAATATATTTAGTGCCGTTTCAAATCTGATCACATCATACTGCATCAATTATGATGAAGTGACATTCCTTGCCTTTTTTTTCTCTGCCATTGCTGCAGTATCTTGGCTCGAGGGTTGTGCGTGATGTCAAGGGCTATGAGTCGACTAAAGAAGCTATCGTTCGCATGAAGGTAAGCAGCTTAGCATCTATTATTACCGTAATCTGCATTTTCACATTTTTCATCGAGCAAAAGCACTAAAGAATACCTGGTAAAAGTTTCACGAAGTACACTTCAAACTTGAGTTAGCTGTCACGCACTTCTAGGGTTAATGTCCGTGTAGGTTCCCAAGTCTATGACGGTACTTATCTTCAATATATGTGCCTATGTGGTGACCTGTATATCGTGAAAAATGTCTTTATTTTTTACTTTGCTGCAAATTACAGACACGGCATAAAAAGGTAAGAAAACCATAAAACCAGGTTGCAGGCTGGTACATGATAAAATCCCTGTGTAATTTATTTGTTTTCTGGTTGTGTTACTTATATGGGTTTTTATGTTTTTATAATAACTTATATATTGAGTAGTCCATTCTATAAGGTGATTGCACACTTGTTGCTAGCTGTGTATGTGGCATATCTTTTCCACATTTTGTATAATGTTTTAAAATGTTGCCTGTTTCAGGAGTCTACCAGAAATATAGCCAAGTTTCCTATGATTACGCTGTCTATTTCACACAAAGGAGTTAAATTTATCGACAGCCAGTCTAGAGTAAGTAACAAACTCATTACGTTACCCAGAAAATAAGAGAATGTTATATTATAGTTTATCTTCGGATGACGTACATTATGTAACATAATAGACTCAGGTATGAGATTCTTCCGCGGATCCGCGGAAATCCGCGGATTTGACAGTCCCAGGGGTCGATTTTGTGAAAAATCTAAATTCGTTGAGAAAATTGGGAGGGGTGTAACAATGTAACAATTTAAATTATATACCCTCAACAGCACCTGACTGTAGACTGTAGAGTGTAGACAGTAGGCTGACAGCGAAGTATACAGTGTATCTGTTTTTGCGTACCAGAAAAGAAAATCCTTAATGTTCACAGGCTGCAGTAGAGGGGCAGACATTTGAAGTAGCTGATCACGTAACGACCATGCCTGGCCTGGGGGCCGGGTTTACATGTTGCTGCGTGCATGTTGTGTGCATGACTATGCACTGATTGTTCCATTCGCATTGTGTTTTTTTCATTCAAATCTGGTCGCAGCAAGGCAGCTTATGTCTGAGTAAAACAATGCAAGCGACGGGTGGAAACAGAAAAATATCATTATGTCTAGACATTTAATAAAAAAAACTTGCCCTATTTTCAGCCCCCTGATTTCCTATTATAGTTCGTTTGTTCCTTTTGAACACTTGAAAAGGTGATTCAAGAGTCTCCTATAATTTGTCTAGAATAGCTTAGAATGCACCAAATTGCACCATTCTTTTAAAAAAATTCCGGGGGAGCATGCCCCCGGACCCCCCTAGCATGGCGATGATCTACGGTCTTCGCATTTACATTTCAGCTGAAAATTAAATTATCCAATCTCATCCCTGAATAGTGTTGCCAATATCGAAAGTAACTACATGGCATATTGCTGTTTGGAGAATATCAGAAGTTGTGTTTCTTTGCCACCAGATGGTGATAGCAGAGCATGCAATTAGGAACATCAACTGTGCCTGCCAGGATGCAGACGATCTCAACTATTTTGCCTACATCACTAAAGATCTGGACAAAGCTGAACAGCACTACTGTCACGCATTCAGTGTGAAGAGTACTGTAAGTATTATCTGTTTCTATATATATTCACCTGTTATTTCTCCTACCTCCTAGAGGTTATTTATCCTACCAGTTCTGCTCCTATTTCACGCCCCAGTCTCGTCCATCAATGATCTCAGGTATTCAGAATGTAGTTTTCATGCTTATTGTAGACAATTGATACGACTGACGTCTGTGAGTTTTGACGGGTCGCTTACAGATCATAATTAATTACATATCATTTTTACACAGTTTTTTACACCTCAGCGTGAGAAAATGAGTGGACGTTCACCCGCGAACAAAACTCTCCGCTACATCCATAACTCTTCAAACTCTATACGTTTATTTATTTTACGTACATTTTATGTAAATTATTATGTATTTGTATATAAATATATATATATATGTATATAAAATATATTATATATCATATAATAACAATTTGTATATAAATATATATTTATATATATGCGCGACCTCCGATGCGCGGTTACCGGTGACGGTGGTCAGTTTTTGCGAGTGACAAACTTCCGCGCCTTGGCCGTAAGTCGGAAGACGGGACGCAGACGCCCGTACGCTGGCCAGCGGCAGCGTTTGATGTCGCCGCCGCCGCCGACATCTGGTAGCAGCCTGATCGATTTCATGTACAGGCTTCCTCGCGATTCGCAACTTCTGTATAAACTACCGCCGTGCCGCGCAGCCAGCTGGGTCGAGGCGGCAGTGTAGTCAGGGTGCGCGCGTGTGCGAGAGAGAGGCGCGTCTTTCTCTCTGTTGCGGGGAATGTCGCCGCCAGCATCTTCATATTTTGGCTTCTTTATTTTGGCAGTGGCCGAGGGTGTAACTTAGCTGGGCGACTCTTCATTAAGTTCCACTCGATGTACGTAAGGAAGGTGACGATGACCCTGTTTTAACTGTCCATCCGCTGACCATAGACTCTAAAGTACTATACCACACGTGAATGAACTAAAACTAACTCCTATATAGCTATACTGATCCTTATTGTCGACCTGTGCTCTGCTTCATTAGGATATAGTGGCGCGGAATATCTCCAGGCTTCGACACGCGGTTATCTGCCCCTCAAACGCTATTCTGAATATTTAATCGGCATCTTAACATCAGAATTGCTAATGTAATTACTGACTGTATGTCGTTCATTGAATTGAAATTATGCAATGGTCGCTATACTGTTGGTAGTGGATACGTTGAATCTCAGTGCGGTGTGGAAGAATGTTTCATTAAAAGTCAGATCAGCGTTGGCATCTACGAAAGGATGACATCAATATGGCACCGCAGCTCAGCACAAATGGATAAATATAGATCATCATTCATGCTATCGTAAAGGCGATAGATAGAAATAAATGAAAATGTGAGAACAGAGATGTGCAAAGAAGAGAAAAGCAAAATAAAGGAGATGAAATGGAAAGGAATAAAATTGAAGGGAAATGACAGGACGAACGAGGAAGACATGGCAATAGAATAGTATATAATAAAATGGAATGAAGTAGAATACAATAGAATAAGAGAAAAAACGAAGAGAAGAGAATGAACGAGAAGGAAGAGTGAATGGGGCGAGAGGAGAAGAGAAGAGAATGGAGAAAAAAGAAACGGCGGGGAAATGTGATAATAGAATGGAACCGAAGTAAATTAAGGCGTAAAAATGACGGAAGGACAGATAATATATATACATCTGATAGCCATTTAGGTATTAAGTTATGTAATATGTCATCTGCTAGCTATTGCAGTATTTTGTTTTATCATACATCATCTGCTAACCATCTATGTATTAAGTTATGTAGTGTATCATCTGCTAGTTACTAAAGTATTCGGTTATGTCGTATCGTTGCTAGCTATTGAAGCGTTAAGTTGTATCATACATTCTTTCCTAGCCGTTATATTAAGCTATTGAGTTGTATCATAATATCATCTGCTAGCAACTGAGGTATCATGTTATATCATAAATCATCTGCCAGTGACTGAGATAATAAGTTATATCACGTATCAGTCAAATCTACTGAGGCATTTAGTTGTATCATATCTCAGCTGCTAGTTACTGAGATATCATGTAATGTCTTCATCATCTAGTAAAGCCTCAGGTATTGTGCATTGTGTTATCTCACCCCCAAACTTTCGTATTATTTAGAGTCGCACATCATTTCATAATTACTAATTAGGGTCTCAAATAATGTTTTACGTCCTTTGCTTGGATATTAGATAATAGCTCTTGTCACCTGTTAATGACCCCAAAGCAATCGTCTGCTTTTATCTTCTGTCGACTCCAGCAATTGCGTGAATGTCTCGCACCGCATATTCTGTCGGCGTGCGTATTAAGTGATGACTCATGCATCATCCTCCGTAACTACTTAAGTATAGAATGGCTTATATCATCGTATATAACTATTTCAATGGCGATTGTGGCAATAGCAGTCACTGGCAGCCAGTGGCCTTCGCTGCACGGTTCGCTCGCTCGTTTTGTCTCGTTCAATTTTAAAGGAATGCTTTCGTGAGAAAAAGAGAGTGAAATAGAAACTTGAGCCGGTCGAAGTGCATTGCATACGAGTACTACTGTTACAACTCTGTGAGCTTGATCGTTCGTGTGCGCAACATCCCACTTCTTCTTTGTGACATTATCTGCCCCCATCGAATCCGCAGCTATTGTGTTTCCTGATGGCCGCGTCAGCGAGCGCTTTATGTCTGTCGTTTGTGATGGAATGCAGTCGAACTTCGTGCATAAAAAGTTGGTTGTTTATTTGCACACGGTTGCAGGTTTTGCGAAGGTGGTGGTGTATCAATGGCAACAATCCTGTCTGTGTGTTATAGCTTTCATTCTCCGCTGCGCTTCTTAAGTTGCAGTAAGCAATACTGCACCGTGTACGCGTAATATGAACGTTTAGTGTGTTTGGTATTTTGATACCGTAAACACGTTCTGTGATCATTGAGTCTGCAATTCAGCACTGGCTTAGAACAAAATTACAGAATATAGTCAATTGCGAAACAATACTCAAATATAAAGTCGCGCATGTTAATGTTCAATATTATTTTCAAGTAAGTTCTATCAATATAAGTTCAATCTTTTGGCATAAAGGTGACTACAAAAATGTAGGCTGGCGCTATTTAATAAGCCAGAATTTGTGGTTTTCTGCTCTCTACCACTCTACCCATTACGGCGCCCTCTCTCGTTACCTCTCGCCCGTTTGATTTCTCTCTCTCTCTCTCTCTCTCTCTCTCTCTCTCTCTCTCTCTCTCTCTCTCTCTCTCTCTCTCTCTCTCTCT